TACCTAAAAAACTGAATTGGAACATAATGACAATACAAACACACTCTACAATTTTTTGTTTGTGTTTATAAAATGTTTTTTTTGTTCGAATATGGCAAAATGTGTTTTAGAGGCAGGCAGGCGTTTTTGCTCGTATCAAATGTCTGTTAAATAAATATCTGAAGAAACTGCACAGACTCAAATGAAACTTTGAGGAAACAATCAGCCGATGTATGTTTCCACAGCTGCTAAACTTTTGTTGCTAACCTACAAACCAACCAACGAAAGTGGCTGTTAATTAAACAGATTGGTGTGGTAGTAGCTGAGAGTCGTTCACGTTGATCATAAGATGAGCAGTTTAACACGCTTACATGAAAGGCGGTGGGCAATTTGCTTTCCTTTCCTCAGTCAGGATCCAGAGACTTCTGCTCAGTTTTTATCGCAGAATCGACTCCAGGCTGGAAAGCTTTGTTTTGAAGGCGAGGCTCATCGTTTCGGCTGTTTCTGTTGCAAACGTTCGGCTCGGTGATGTCAGGGTTGTAATCCGCCCCGCACCACGTGGATCCTAAGCCTGGATCGACGGGGCTGAGAGGGTCGCAGGGTCACATGGATCAGAGCGTGGCAGGTGGGGAGGTAAATGTAGGGAGATGGCTGAGGCAGGAAATGTATTCGTATGGAGACACTCAGAATAAAAATATGGGAAAGCATGCGATGGGGGAGGGGGGAGGGGTTAGGCTGGGCTTTTAGCGGATGGAGAGGAGGAGAAGCCGATGATGACGATGTTCTGACAGCAGGAAAGGAGATCAAACTGTAAAACGGAGGGGAAAAATCAGCCAAAAGCTTTTTATTTTATTTACTTTATTTGTTAATCTGCATTAGAGTCAACGTTTAAAAACAAACAACTCTGTAAGAAAGTGTCTTATCTGTCTTAAAGAAGGATCTGTCATCTCTGGGCGTGTCAGTGATGACTCTCAGCTACTACCACCTAACTTTACCTCCCTCAGAAACAATAAATAGGCTTTAATTATACTTATACATACTGTTTTTTCTCTCATCTGTTATCTTCTAGCTGTGATTTTGAAATGTAGTTACTATTATGCTAATTGCAGCTTTTTACTAATGTTTGTTTTTGAATTTAGCTGTTGTGTTGCTTGTCAATTTGTAGATATTATACTAATTTTAGCTAGTGTTGCACCTTTTTGCTTTTAGCTGTTTTGGTAATATAAGTTTTCCATTACCGTTTAGCTACATTTTATCTTTAAGCTGCTGTTTTGCTTGATGCTTTTAGCTATTCACTTTTTGATTTTTTTAGGTACAGTTTTGATCWTTTTAACTTTTATACTTGGTTTCCAAAGTTTAGCTTTCAGCTACTGCTTTGCTAATTGAAACTTTTAGCTAAAGTTTTGTTTAATTTAACTTTTAGTGTTGCTAATTTTTGCTTAAAGCTGGTGTTTTGCTAATTTTAGCTTTTAGCTGCTGTTTTGCTTCCTTTTTAAATTTCAACTACTTTTTTTGGTTATTGTAGCTTTTAGCTAAGGTTTGATTGCATTTAGCTTGTTATCTACTCTTTGGTTTATTGTTTGCTTTTAGTCATGGTCTAGCTAATTTTCAGTTTTTAGTTAAGGTTTTGGCTCATTTGGTTTTCAACAATTGTTTAGATTTTTATTTTTTTGTTTACTTTCAGCAACAGCTTTGAAATTTGAGTTTTTAGCTACAGTTCTGCTAAGTTTAGCTAGTTTTGCTAATTTTGGCTTTAAGCCACAGTATGAAACAAAACTTCTTGCTCAGTTTTTTTATACTTTGTTTAGCGTTTCATTAAGGTCATGCTGATATCCTTTATCTCTGGTTTTGCTTGTTTTAGCTTAGCTTTTAGCTACAGATTTGTCAGTTTAAGCTTAAAGTTTCTGTTACATGTTTGCAGAAAATGCTATTTCAGCAGCTGAAGTTGGAACAAACGAACCTGTAATAATAATTTACTGACAAACAAGCTTCTTGTCTTTTTATAAACCGATTCAATGTATTTGTTTTACTCTTCGGCTGATTATAAACAGCAGAAATTATTATAAGCTGCAGAAATCATCATAAACGGTAGAAATCATTCATTGGTGCAAAACCATAAAATAATTACCTCCTCTGTGGACGAAGCAGACGCTTCTGCAACTGTTTGGTTTTACGGAGCGTCGAGCTGCGGCTCTCAGGCTAATTATCTCTTTATTGCTGCAGAAACACTCAGCAGTGATTTCTCTGTTGACTGACTTTAACACAAACACACACACACACACACACACACACAC